TACAATTTTCAAATCCTACTAGTCTAGGTGGTTAAATACGGTACCACAATCCATGAGAGTTACTAGTAACTCAACAAGATTAAATAATAAGTTGTTTCTAAAGTTAAAGGAACAAGTATCAAACACCCAATTGGCAGAAGGTGACAATTTATTCTCCTTCTTCTTCTGGTGGACAGACCAACTCTCTCTCTCTTGTTTAATCGTATAATTTCTTTATTCTCCGCAAGAAATGACAAACATTTATTAATAAAAAATACACTTTATATTACCCAAAAAAAAAAAACAACTACACTTTATAACGAATGCTTGATGGTTCCAATGCAAAGAGTAACAGCTAAGTGAATAACAAAGCGTTCATAATTATTAAATCACTTATTTTGATTTTTCTTAGGCAGAATTCCAAATATGTTTATATTTGTTTTTCATTGGGATAGGAGAATGAGTTATGAGATTGTATAGAAAACGAAATCCAATAGAGGAGTTGTAATACTGTTGGAAAATCACAAAAGACGGGTGAGATCTATGTTTTATAAGAAATATTAAATCTCAACTTATAAGATATATTTTGAGGTGAAATGGATGAATTTTTGGAAGAACTCCGTTTTAGAGTGAATATTGAATCTTAACTCATAAGACGCGTTTTGGAGTGAAATTGATGAGTTTCTGGAAGAACTTTGAGTAAGAAGTTATGAGTGTTGAGTAGTGCAAGGATAGGTGACCTCCCGGAAGTCACCATTGATAAGCGCCCAAAAGTAAAATCGTGGGCGATTGTGGGGCAAATGTCAACGAGAACATTGAGTCCGAAAGGTGGTTAAGTAACTCCATAGACAAATCCCATATCGACAAAGCATGAGCGATAACTATTATTCATAAGGAAAAATGTCCAACCATAACTGATAAGACAGTTATTGGAGTGAAATGAATGAGTTATTGGAAGCACTCTAAATTTAAACGTGGTCAGCGTGGAGCAGTGCAAGGATGGGTGATCTTCCGAAAAGTCAAAATTGATATGTGCCCAAAATCAAAATCATGTGGAGTGTTCTGAAAGCGAACAATATCTTGTTCAGAAAAGGTTGAGATGCTATAGTAGTAGTGTAGTACTTAAACGTGCAATTGTGGTTTCATGGTACAGTTTACTGATTATGCATACTTTTTTATTAAATTTAACCGGTCATGTCCCTTTTTCCATTCAAAAATTAAAAATTTCACAAAAAATCATATTAATCATAATTTTCAAAACGATATACAAATTGATATATTTTGACAAAAAACATTTGAGGCATATATTACTACTCTATACAATGATGGTAATACTTGATTAATGCATAAAATTATATCATGATGGTGTGAAAATTTACTATGGTGGTAGAGATATATCATATATCATAGTGTAGAATAGTTGTATATATAATGGTAAGAATTAGGGGTGGAAATCGGTACGGTATCGGTATCCCAATACCAAATACCGAAATCCCGAATACCGAATTACACCCTGAAATCAATCCCAATCCCTAAATATTTCGGTATCCCAATCGGTATCTCGGTATCCCAATCGGTATGATCAAATACAAAATTAATTACCTTCGCTATTAATAATTAAATATATAAATTATATTTTATTGTTTAATTTAGGGCAAAGAGTCTTGAATTGTCTAGAGCTAACATCTCAAGTTTTTGTAATTGGTAATCTTTAATTTGATGAATTTGAGATTGAGAGACGACTAATACTAGTGTGAAATAGTGATGCAATGATCTATGTATAATAAATGACACTCTTGGTGGTTGAGGGTCGCGTAGTAGTGAATTAGAGAGTCTAGTTGAGAGGATAAAAATACACACTAGCTTATATTTTGGTATTGATCGGTATTTTGGTATATACCGATCCCAATCCCATAATCCCTAATACCGAATAACAATTGAAACTGAACCCCAATCCCAATCCCACGAAATAATACGTGCATTCAGTAATACCAGATATAGGAAAATTCGATACGATTCGATGTATCTCAAATACCGGTACCAAACTTCCAGCCCTAGTAAGAATGTAAAAATACTTGGTAAGAAAATGCTATCTATACCTCAAATGAATCGAATTTTGGTGCATAATACTATACTCTAACCTTTGATGAGTGAACTTTAGGTATTAATTATCTAAATCATAGATCATAAATATTTATATCGTGCATATAATTTGTTGGATTAATTTCAATGAATAATGACCATTGATTATTATTTCTAGTTAAATTGATCTTAGTCTATGATATTAATAGAGTTGATACCTAGATTTAAATCTTTAAGGGTTACTATGTAGTACGATGTTCCAAACTCCTGTCAGTAGGAGATCTAAATAATATTTTCTTACTCAGGGTACGTCATACCTTTGATACTACTCAAGGTACGATAGAACCATCCATAAATATATATGGGTCATATTGCTATATTCTTGGAGTATCAGGTACTCATAGTGAGATATCTCTATATAGACCATGAATTAAATCGAGTTTGGGATATGATATTATACCCTAACCTAGTAAAGACCCCAAACTTGATTTTCTAAACCCAAACTGGAAGATAAATTAATAAAAAATAATAATCAATGATTCTAATTTGTCGAAATTTAATGAAGCACATCCAACGGTTAGACCACTTGGAGATTATATACTCCAAGAGAAGACGAATCCTTCCCATATATAGAGTTTATCGTACCCATGATAAGTGTGAGAGCAAAATATCCTTAGTAAGAAAACACTATCTAGACCCTAAATTCACCAAATTTTGAGGCATGAAACTATACCAAAAAACCTAATGAGTAAAACCTAGCTCACAATTATCTAAATCTTGTACCCTATGATCGATTTAATTAGATATAATAAGGGACAAACTATACCAAAAAAACCTAATGAGTATAACCTAGCTCACAAAAAAACCTAAATCTTGTACCCTGTGATAGATTTAATTAGATAAAATAATGGACAGTTCTAATTCCTCGAAATACATCCAACATACTAAATGAACCATCTTAGGATTCACACACACGCGCGCAGACACGGATCAGACTCTTATACTCCTAGAGTACTATACAATACCCTACGTAATCTTAGTAATATATATGGATGGTTCTATCGTACCTTGACTCCAATTAAAGGTATAACAAACTCTGAGTAAGAATGATATCTTGACCTTGAATTGAACGGAGTTTCGGACATGATACTATACTCTAACCCTTAAAGATTAAAATTTAGGTCTTAATTCAATAATCTCATTCACTAAGATCAACCTGAGCGTATTTCTAGTGAGACATATTTATCTAGACAATGAATAATTTAAGTTTGGGGAATAATATTATACTCTAACCTCTAATGGATAAATCCTAGGCCTCGATTTTCTAAACCCTAACCCGAATTCAATAGAAGATAAAACAATAATTGACCGTTGAGATTGGTCGGAACTCATCGAAGTACATCTAATGGCTAGATCATTGGGAGCATACGAGTCGTCTCCCTATATATATGGTTCAAGTTAGCGTACACCACCTTACCATACGCCCCTCGAGTTTTACTCTTGACAATGAATTAACGAGATTTTGACATGATACTATACCCTAACCACTAATGGGTTAACCCCAATCCATAATTTTGTAACTGAAACCATATGTTTCATTTAATCTAAAATAATAACCAATAGTTCTGATTCGTTGAAATATATCAAATTATATATAATAAGTGTTAATGCATGTGTATATAATACGCTAGGCGAGCCACACATCATCAATTCATAAGACTTTGGAGAATGGTACTCATTTAGTCATTTATAAGGTCAGACTGCTATACTCGTAGAGTATACAATACTTATAGTGATCCTAGTGAGATGAAGTTACTAGATCATGAATTATATAAAAGTTAGGGGTATGGTACTATACCCTAACATATAATGGATCAATCTAAATACCTAATCCTCTTAAACCAAACCCTCAAATCTTTTTTTTTTTTTTGACAATACCAAACCCTCAAATCGATGTAATGAAAATCAATCATTGACGGTTCTAATTGGTTGAAGTCCATCAAAGTACATCCAACGACCAGTTCACCTAGTGTTACCATACTCTAAGATATGGTATTCTTTAATTAATAATAATATTATTATTATTTAGTGACTGGCATACTCTATGAGTATATCATACTCCAAGTGATCAAGCCTTTAGGTGTACTTCGTTGTACTTCGACAAATAAGAGTTTTTGATTAATATTTTTTATTTATTAAATTGTTCTTTGTGTTTTGGTTTAGAGAATTGTGGCATGTGGTTTATCCATGCGAGGTTAGGGGATATTATCATCTAGACCATCGTCATTATCACTTGGAGTATGATTTTCTTAATCAGCATGCTTGATAACTGCGTAATCCTAGAACCTATTTCTATAAAACCTAAACCGTAATTCTCGAATACTTGAATCCGAGACCTTAAACTCAAATCAGTGAATCTTAGACCCCAATTCTCTTTACATTAGACCATAAGATTAAATACACTAAGAATAACGAATGACGATTCTGATTTGTCGAGATATCCAACGTACCTCATACATCATATTACGGTTAAGGGAATTTGGGCATATGATTTAGTATTCGAGTCGGGATATAGTACCTTTAACCCATAATTTGATTAATTTATGGTCTGGATAATGTTACTTTACTAAGGGTACTAATATATCCATATTCATTGACGGTACTATAAATTTTTTTGGTATATATACACTATTAATTAATATATTTAAAGAAAACCAATGATTTTTTAATTATTAGTGGGTAATGCTTAGTCTTTCACTTCAATGCTTATTATTCTCAAATTTTAATGCAATTATTAGCCATTGAGTTTGGTCATTCACTTCTATCATTTCAAATGTTTCTGTACAAAACCACGACCTTCCCTCATATTCATATAACCAATTGTGTTTTTTATGATAATTTGTGCACATTAAAAGGGATGGTTTAAGGATAACAAGAAAATGCTCTCGTCGAATCCCTCGGTTCTGTCTTCTCCGGCGACGATGGTGGCTCCCCAAGGGAGACCGCCAGACCCTCTGACCCCAAAGGAAACTAATTTGAACGAAGGAGAAAAGCTGGAGACCTTGCCTGATTCGCCAATGCAGATGGAAGTCGAGGGCGCTACAGTGCAGGCAAAGACAATAGGGGCCCCCGTTGTCACAACGCCGGTCTCCGACGTAGCCAAACAATCAGGAATGGAAATCACGGATCCGAATCGAGTAACCGATGGCACAACAGTGCAAACCCTAACTTCTTATGCGTCCGCGGTGGCAGGGAACGCTAGTGCGCAGCAACCCCCGAAGCAGCGGTGGATCCCGGTGGGCGAACATGACCTGGTGCCAGGGACCTTCAATGGCGAGCCGGAACTCAGAGTCTCTGACTCGCTCAGGAACAAACTCAGTGCTCCCTGGAAGCGGACTCTGGTTGTTAGACTGCTGGGGCGCTCGATCGGATACTCGACTCTGTGCAATAGGCTGAAGGCCCTCTGGCGACCATCTACCGCTATGGAAATTTTTGCGCTGGATGACGACTGCTTTCTGGTGAAGCTTGGGAATGATAATGATTATTTCAGTGCTCTGTCGGGCGGTCCGTGGGTGATTTTTGACCACTACTTGGTCGTCCAGCAATGGACTCCTTCCTTCAGGGTGACGGATAAACTTCCTAACACCATGGTTCTGTGGGTTCACTTCCCGGGGCTCCCTGTGCATTTCTATCATCAGGAACTCCTATTCGCGCTTGGCAATATGATTGGAAGGGCCATAAAACTCGACTATCACACCCAGCACCAGCAGCGCGCAAAATTTGCCAGAATGGCTGTGGAAGTTGACCTTTCCAAGCCCCTGGTTCCAAGGATTAGACTGGACGGCCGGTGGCAGAAGGTGGAGTTCGAGAACATTCCCGTTGTGTGCTTTGAGTGTGGCAAAGTCGGTCATACCAATGTCACATGCCCCTTAGTTTGTCAGGGGCGACCAGGTGCCGAGACTCAATGTAATTTGCAGTCGCCGGGGGTTGACGCCGGCGAGGGGGACTCCGGGGACATGGCCGGGTTCGGGCCGTGGATGTTAGTCTCACGGAAATCTCGGCTCAATCATAGGGAGGTGGTGGGACAAGGAAAGTCGGATCAGCATCAACAAGCCACCAACGGCCACAAGATCAGGAATTCAGGGAAAGGAGAAGCTGGTGATAAGGAAGGTATGGCGATTCTCCCGAAATTGCAGAATGGTAAATCAGGGAAAGTGGCGGGGAGCTTACCTGGGAAGAAGGAGGAGGCGAAAAAAGGAAAGGCTCCAGTGATGGGTAGTACTGAGACAGCAGAGAAAGGGCTCTTAGGCCCAAGACCCAGTCCATTGAACGCAGCTCCTCGGCCCACTAAGCCCAGGAACGATCATGAGGCCTCAACTTCGATGGCGGTAATACAAAGCCCAGGGAAAGCAAGTCTGTCAAAGGAAATCAGAGGCCACTATGGGCCTCCCCCAAACCCATCGTCCCCAGACCCGGCCCAGATCAAGGAAGGAGGGTCTGATACCCGGATCCGTGTTGTGGAGGCGAATCCTTACACCCCTCCTCCGTCGCGCATCGTCGACCCGGCAGCGCCATCAGCCAACAACCGCACAAAGAAAAAGAAGAGACAAGCAGGGAAAGGGGCCGGGGAGGATAGCTCGACGCCATCACGCGGCACACAGATCCGCCGTAACCCAGCGAAGGCGCTTCAAGTCTGGTCCCCAATCAAGGAAAAGAGAGTGAAGAGCAGGGAGCGACGCATATCCCTAACTCTTCAGCAAATCCAGGAATGGACGAATGCGGCAAAGTCCGGCGAAGAACCAGAGAAGGCAGCGAGGACCTCGACGATCACCACACCCCAGGGAGATGATCGGAATATGGTGGCGGCCTCGGCTACATCTGCCCCTGATCTCGGATAATTTCCTTCGATGCTGACTTCTTTCTTCCCCTTTTCGCATTTTTCCTTATGTCTATGTCCTTTGACTCTGATTTTAAAATTCTCTCCTGGAATGTGGGTGGCGCTGGGGGCAGATCGTTTTTACGCTCCCTCCGGTTTGCAATCCAACTTCACCGGCCTAACTTTCTTGTGTTGTTGGAACCTCAGGTCAGTGGCGCGGTGGCTGACTCTGTTTGCGAGAAGCTAGGCTTCCCCGATGTTGCCCGTGTCGAAGCTTCTGGTCGAAGTGGGGGCATATGGGTCTTCTGGAATGCGCAACATTTTGATGCTCATATTCACTCTGCGGGCGATCAACATCTTACTCTGTCTATTTGCCAGAACAGCTCGCCAATTTGGTTCCTGACTGCGATTTATGCGTCTCCTCGACAGCCGCCTCAGAGCTTGCTCTGGTATAACCTGGTTGAAGAAAGCAAGAACATCACCTATCCTTGGATTCTGACCGGTGACTTCAACGCCATTTCTTCGCCGGACGAGAAGAGCGGCCCCTGTACTACTGCCATCCTCCACAGATGTAGACGTTTTAACCAATGGATGAACCAGGCGGAGCTTGTGGACTTGGGCTTCTCTGGGCCCCGTTTCACGTGGTCAAGAGGATCTCAAGCTACCACTTTCAAAGCGAGCAGGCTGGATCGTAGTCTCTGTAAACTGAGTTGGAATGAGGCTTTTCCTGACACTACTGTTCTGCATCTTCCTCGAGTAGGGTCTGATCATCACCCAATCCTCACTTCTGTTACTCGCCAGGGAGTCTCGCAACCCTCTTCTAGACCTTTCAAATTTGAAGCAGCTTGGATTACGCATGATAATTTTTACAGTTTTTTGGATGAATCATGGAACTCACAGGCTGCCTTACCCCTTGCCTTGCAGGATTTATCTTCAAAGCTTCAAAGTTGGAATACTACGGTTTTTGGCAATATTTCGCAAAGGAAAAGGAGATTGCTGGCTCGGGTCAGTGGGGTGGAAAAGCGTTTGGCTGAGGGCTTTTCTCCTGGCCTAGCTAAACTTCATTCCAAGCTTTCGACGGAGTTAGAGAAGGTCTTGGAGCAGGAAGAATTGTTGTGGTTCCAAAGATCTCGGGAGAACTGGGTCAAATTCGGGGAGAGGAATACTTCCTACTTCCACCAGTTAGCTAAGATCAGACGGAGGGCAAACAAGATTGCTTTTCTGAAGGATGAGAATGGGGATTGGGTGACGGATAGACATCAATTGGCCTCCATGGTCTTCCAGTTTTACACTGATCTGTATCTGCAGGATAACACGACCTATGAGGACTTGATGCCTCGAGGAGCTTTCCCTCACATTAGCTTTGCGGACCTTAATCAGCTTCTCCGACCTTTCACCGTCCAAGATGTGCATCGAGCTGTCTTTGATATGAAACCGCTCCAGGCCCCGGGTCCGGATGGTTTTCAAGCTATTTTCTACCAGCACACTTGGAAGACTGTGGGGAAGTCCCTTACTGACATGGCCATCTCGTTTTTTGAGGGAGGTGAGCTTCCATATGAGGTTTTTGCTTCTACAGTGGTGCTCATCCCCAAAATTGAGAATCCTGAGACTGTTGGGCATCTCCGACCGATCTCTCTTAATAACGTCAGTCTCAAGGCCATCACTAAAGTCATGACTAGCAGGTTGAAGTCTGTTATGAGCACTCTGGTTTCTCCTCGACAGAGCAGCTTTATCCCGGGCCGGCAGACAACAGACAATATCCTGATTGTCCAGGAATTTCTCCATTCTATGCGTAAGCGTCGAGGCAAGAAGGGAGGGTTGGTAATGAAAATTGATCTTGAAAAGGCGTATGACAGGCTCAGATGGGATTTTCTTCGGGATACTCTCGTTGAAGTTGGTCTCCCGAGCTCTTGGATTCGCTGCATCATGTACTGTGTCGAAAAGAATGCTATGCGCATCCTCTGGAACGGAGAACTCTTGGAACCCATTTCCCCGACCCGAGGCGTTAGACAGGGAGACCCTCTTTCACCTTATCTCTTTGTTTTATGTATGGAACGTCTCTCTCACAGAATAGACCGGGCTGTCCAGGAAAAGCGTTGGAAACCTGTCAGGCTTTCGCCAGGAGGGCCGGCTCTAACGCATCTCTTTTTTGCAGATGACGTCATCCTTTTTGCCGAGGCGGAGGGCTCACAAGTCCGGATCATCAAAGACTGCTTGGATGAGTTTTGTGCTAGCTCTGGTCAGAGAGTGAACTTCAACAAATCCTTGCTCTATGTCTCGCCGAACATCGATCAGGCTCGTGCTCAGCGGTTAAGCGATAGGGCTGGCATTCCCCTGACTCTTAGTCTGGGTCGCTACCTCGGTCTGCAAGCGATTCATGGGAGAATCACTAAGAGTAGATACCAGCCCCTGGTTCTTCAAATTCAGAAGAAGCTTGCTCCCTGGAAGGCTAGGCGCCTCTCCCTTGCTGCGAGGATTACGGTGGCGCGATCGGTGTCTCTCGCCATTCCTACTTATCCTATGCAGACTGAACTTATTCCTATGAGTGTTTGTAAAACTATTGACAGGATTAACAGGGACTTCATCTGGGGGGAGAGAGAGCAGCAGGGAAGGATGCATCTGGTAGCCTGGGAAAAGCTTACTGAGCCAAAGAACCAAGGTGGTGCAGGCTTGAGACCCCTGAGACAAGCTAATCTGGCTCTCCTGGCTAAAGGAGGCTGGCGTTTGCTTCAAGAGAAGAGTTCACTCTGGACACAGCTTTTTCGAGCCAAGTATGGACGCCAACGGGAAGGTTTGGACCTGTTCCGCCAAAGTCAGGGAAGTTCCTTTGCTTGGAGGAGCTTTGTCAAAGCTTCTAGTATACTGAAACAAGGTTGTGGGTGGAATATCCACAGTGGGAAAAACACTAAGTTTTGGTGTGATCTTTGGTTGATGCAGGTTCCACTCGTGGAGATGGCCCTGCAACCGGTGCCAAGCGAGATGATGTCGGACGCTGTTGCTGAGTACCTCGACAATGACGGCACGTGGGACGTGGAGCGATTGGCCCCCTGGCTGCCTGCGGAGGTCCTGCAGAAAATGACCGCGGTGGCAGTTGACCCTCTCTCCACCGATGAGGACACGATTTTCTGGACGGAATCCTCGAATGGCTGCTTCTCTACGAAAACAGCTTACCTCTTGGCTAACCCGCCCCGGCATGATCCCTGGCAGAAGTTGTGGAAGCAAGTGTGGCAGCTCCCTGTCCCGGAAAGAGTTCGGTGCTTTGCCTGGCTGGTTTGCTTGGGCAAGATTGCGACGAATCAGCTGAGATTCTCCAGAAAGTGCTCCCCGTCCTCCTCCTGCTACCGCTGTGAAGATGTTGCTGAGACTGTTTGTCATGTCCTCCGGGATTGCCCGCCCGCTGCCTTCTTTTGGAGCAGGCATGTGCCGGATCCTGAGCAGCAAGCTTTCTTCTCAGCTTCAGCTGGAGACTGGTTGTAGAAGAACCTCCTCAAGGATGAGACCATGGTGTCAGGTGCTAGTTGGAACGCTTTTTTCAGTATAGCGATTTGGTGTTTGTGGAAGAACAGGTGCACGGGCTGCTTCAAAGGGAGGAATGCTACTCTGACCGCTCCTTCCCTGAGCCACTCGATCATGCACAGGAGCAGCCTTTGGCACAAGGCTTGGAACGCCCCTTCAGTTTCTCTAGGTAAACCAAGAATGGTCCATGATAGAAGGGTTGAGAACGTTAGGTGGCTCGCCCCCCCAAGGGGTTGGCTGAAACTTAATGTAGATGGGGCCTCGGCAGGTAACCCTGGGATTGCAGGAGCTGGTGGGTTGATTAGAGATGAGCAGGGTCGCTGGATGGCCGGGTTTGTGGCTATGATTGGGGAAGCCTCGGCAGCCCTTGCTGAGCTGTGGGCTATTCGTCATGGTTTGGATATTGCTTGGCGGTGTAGGTGCAGGAACTTGATCATTGAGTCGGACTCTCAACTTGCTATCCAGCTGATTAAGGATAGACAGGATCCCATTCACCCCTACGCCGGCCTGCTTACCTCGATACGGCGGCGTATAGCTCAGGATTGGCTGGTCAACATTGTTCACACGTACCGTGAAGGGAATAGAGCCGCGGACTGGCTCTCGAAGCACAGTCTCGTCTATCCCTACGGTATGCGGGAACTTGTGGACCCGCCAAGGGATCTGTGTCATATTCTGCAAGAGGATAATCTGGGAATCTCCTTTGAGCGCCGGGTGGTGGTTCACACGGATTGCTAGTCTTCCTTTCTGCTTTTCTTTCCTGATGTAGTCTCCCTCTTTCTTGGCTTTGGCCTCCCTTAATGCAAAAAAAAAAAATGTCACTTCTTTATTTTGAAATACAAATTTTTATATCACTTTCAATAATAATGATTTTATTCCCGCAAAATCATGTAAGCTAATCAATTTATAAATTCTAGTTCACCACTTAATGTCAAAATTTATTATTTGATTCTTGGTGAACATCTTTGCTATTAGAGAAACTCACCTATTTATGTATAGAGCAATGTATATTAGCATGGACTGTTTGATAGAAAATATAAAATTATTGGTTACTTGGATCGTCGACAAATGCAGTGAATAAGTCTTTAGACTTAGAAATGTGTTCTTATTTTATAAGTTTTATTGAGAATATAGAAAATTATTTGTAGCCTAGTTTGTTAGAAATTTTGGCTCTCACTCGAATGACCTTTGTTTTGAGTAAGATTTTTTTTTTTTATAAAATATATTTAGGTACTAATTTGAAAATCACAAATTTAATCCTACCTAAAATTAAGGAGGAAGCAAGAGTTTTTTTTATATATATATATAAGGAAGTAAGAATTTTGATATGAAAAAATGAAGTTAGTGGTTTTGGTTGGACACCATGGACGAAGCATTAACAGTTGAGCTTAGTAGTAAGAAGAGTCTTCTCTTGGAGAAGGCGTATATGGTGATGTTACTAAGGGTCGAACGGTGGCAGT